CTACCTAAAAAGAATGACCAGGCTAATGTTGTGACCAATAAGGTTGTAGAAGATGAGGTATTTATGGTCTGTGATCAAGCCAATTCTGTGCTCAGTAGTCTAACTGAGAGTGAATGGTTAATAGATTCAGGTTGTACCTACCACATGACACCTTTTAAAGATCTGTTTGCTTCTTATAGTACTTGTGATTCGGGTTATGTGTCCCTAGCTGATAGTAAGAAGTGTAAGGTTCATGGTATGGGTGACATAAGTCTCAGATTTGGAAATGGAACTGTCTTCAAATTAAAAAATGTTAGACATGTCCCTAATCTTAGGCACAATCTGCTTTCTGTTTCTGCTTTTGAAGAATGTGGTCTTGAGGATAAATGGGGAAGTGGGTGTATGAAAATCTTGAAAAACTCTCTTGTTTTATTCAAGGCTTTGAAACAAAATAACCTGTATGTTGTTTATGCTAAACCATTTTCTGAAAATGCTAATGTTGTACTCACTGATAAGTCTGTGCTTTGGCACCAAAGACTTGGTCATATGAGTAATAAAGGTTTGAACATCTTACAAAAAACTGGGTGTTTTGGTAATGACTTGGTGTCACCTATACCATTCTGTGAAGGGTGTGTCTTAGGTAAACAACATAGGGTTCAGTTTCCTGTTTCTAGCCATCCTAGTGAGCCTAAGTCTAAAGCAGTCCTTGACTACATACATGCAGATGTGTGGGGTCCTTCCAGTGTCCCTACCCATGGGGGTAGGAGGTACTTCCTGTCCATAATTGATGACTTCTCTAGGAAAGTCTGGGTCTGTTTGTTAGAACATAAGTCTGATGTTTATGTTAGGTTTAAAGACTGGAAAGTTATGGTAGAAAACCAAACTGGATGTAAGGTTAAAACCCTTAGAACTGACAATGGATTAGAATTCTGCAATAGGGACATGGATAGGCTGTGTACTGAGAGTGGGATTAGGAGACACAAAACTGTGCCCTATACTCCCCAACAAAATGGTTTGGCTGAGAGAATGAATAGGACCCTTCTAGACAAAGTTAGGAGTATGTTAGCCACTTCTGGTCTTCCTAAGAAGTTTTGGGGAGAGGCTGTGACCACTGCTGCCTACCTGATAAACAGATCCCCTTCTGTTCCTTTAGAAGGTAAATGCCCTGAGTCTGTCTTCTCTGAGAAACCTCTTGACCTGTCAAACCTAAAGGTGTTTGGGTGTGCAGCCTATGCACACCAACAGACTGATAAGATGGACCCTAGGTCTAAAAAGTGCATTTTCTTAGGTTATCCTGAAGGGGTAAAAGGGTATAGGATCTGGGATAGAAATCAGAGTGGTTTTAAGGTCATTATAAGCAGAAATGTTGTGTTTAATGAAAGTGATTTTCCCTGCTTAGTTAAAACTGTTACTGACCCTCAAACTGAATCTGATGTCACCTCTCCCAGTGAGGTGGAGCCTATCCAAACCACTGCTGCCCCTCTGTTAAATGATTTTGTTACTCCTGACCTGACCAACACTATGCATGACACCCACACCACCTTCAGTGAGGTGGAGCAGCCCAGTGGATCTAATGTTGATAATGAAACTATGCATGATGTGTTTACAGGTAATAACTCCACTGATGATAATGACCATTTTGAAACTGCTGCTGATAGTCAGGGTCTTGAAGACTATCAGTTAGCTAGAGATAGAACTAGAAGAAACATAAAGAAAATCTCTGATAGCATGACTGACTATGCTTTTCATCTGTATGACACTTCCTTGTTTGCATTCTCTGTCTTTGAAACTCTTGAGTTGAATGAGCCTAAAACCTACCAGGAAGCCCTTGCCTCTAGAGAATCTGAAAACTGGCTAAGTGCTATGAAAAGTGAAATTGATTCCCTGAAGTTGAATAAGACTTGGACCCTAGTTCCTAGGACTCCTAATTGTTCTGTTGTTGAGTGCAAATGGCTTTTCAAAGTTAAAGAAGAACCTAATAACATTAGGTTTAAGGCTAGGTTAGTGGCTAAAGGTTTCACTCAAAAGGAAGGGGTAGACTATGCTGAAATTTTTGCTCCTGTAGTAAAATTCACCACAATTAGGATGATGCTTGCCCTAGTTGCCCATAATGACTGGGAAATGAAGCAGATGGATGTTACAACTGCTTTCCTGCATGGTGAACTAGATAAACAGATTTTCATGACCCAACCTGAGGGTTTTGTAGACCCTAAGTACCCTAGACATGTCTGTCTTCTTAGGAAAGCCCTCTATGGCCTGAAACAGTCTCCCAGACAGTGGAATATAAAGTTTGACCAGTGTATGTCCTCCCTGAGTTTCAAAAGGTCTGATTCTGACCCTTGCTTGTATTTTAAAAATACTGCTTCTGTATCTGTTTTCTTGTTGATCTATGTTGATGACATGCTTATCATTAGCCCCTCTGTGAATGCTATTAAGACTGTTCAAAAGTGTCTCTGTGAAAATTTTGCTATGAAGGACCTAGGAGATGCTAAGAGAATCATAGGGATTAATATAATCAGGGATAGGAGTAGATGTACCCTTACCCTGAACCAGACCTCCTACCTAGACAAGGTCTTGAAAAAATTCAACCTTGACTCTGCCCAACCTGTAAATGTCCCTTTAGCAACCCACTTTGTGCTAAGCAAGGACCAGTCCCCAAGGACTGCTCCTGAGATAGATAGGATGAAGACTGTACCCTATTCCAGTGCTATAGGGTTAGTCATGTATCTCATGGTAAGCACAAGACCTGACATAGCTTATGCTGTTAGTTGCTTAAGTAGATACATGGCAAACCCTGGTATGTCTCACTGGACTGCCCTTAAATGGCTTCTTAGATACCTTAGGGGTACTTCTTCTCATGGTCTTGTGTTTTTTAAAACTGAAACTGGTATTTTGCTTACTGGCTATGTTGACTCCAATTATGCAAATGATAGGGATAATAGAAAGTCCACTACTTCCTATGTCTTTACTCTGTGTGGTTCCTGCATAAGTTGGAAATCCCAACTACAACCTATTGTTGCATTGTCCACTACAGAATCTGAATATGTGGCAGCCACTGAAGCCTTTAAAGAGGCTATTTGGCTTAAACGTATGCTAACTGAAATTGGTTTTCTTAAGCAGGTTGTGACAGTTTACTCTGATAGCCAGTCTGCTATCCAATTGTGCAAAAACCCTGTATTTCATGACAGGACCAAGCACATTGATGTCAGGTTTCATTTTATAAGGAACATTGTTGATTCAGGTTGGATTAAGCTGTCCAAAATTGCTTCTGAATTTAACCCCGCTGATATGGGGACTAAATGTCTCACTTTTGAAAAACTGTTATCTTGTAAACGTATTCTTAATTTGGATTGTGGCTAGATAAGAACAGACAAAACAAGAAAAACCGGCAATGATGATACTCCCTTTCACAGTTGTGCTCTACATCACCAAGGGGACCAATAAGGTGGAGATTGTTGATGGTATTGGTCCACCTCAACTTGGCCTAACCCTTACCCATGCTGTCTTTGGTCCACCTCATTTAATAGTTTGGTCTCCTATTAAAAAACTCTGTCCCCTTGTTTTTTTAATTTCGGTATGCAATATTGGCCTCTTATGAAAGATCATAAAAAATTATGAATTTTGATACTCCCTTCATATTTTAAAGCTTCATACACTTTCTATTTTGGGATGTATTTAAAACTTCCATACACTTTTCTTTTTTGATAAGTTTTTCTTTTAGAAATACTCAACACCCTTACTTTTTCTACTTTTTATCCCATTTTTTGCTACTTTTTCACTTTTTCTCCTACTTTTTCTATACTATTCATTACCCCTACTATTCTCCATTAAATATTGTGTCATAACCTAATAGTTCTTTGGGAAAAGGGGCAAAAGTGCCCCTGAAGTTGTCATCAAAGGGCATTGATGCCCTTAAACTTTATTTGTGTGAAAAAAGCTTTAAAATGTGTGAAAGGAGGGCAATTACCCCCTTGGTTAATGGTGAACATGCATTTGTTTAACGGTGGACCATGCAACATAAAGTTTCTCCTTTGGCTGGCGTTTACTACGTACGGAGTATAACAAATCAAATACCAATAGTGCTTCTTCATAAGCATCTATAAAGAAATTAATGATTACAATGATGAATCACTTACTAATTGACTTATTAAGATGAATCACTTACTAATTGACTTATTAAGATGAATCACTTACTAATTGACCTATTTTTCGGCTTATCAACCAACTTTTTTATCAAACACGTAATTTTTAATTTCGCGCACCGAATTGTGTAATAATAAAAAAATTAGGTAGAAGTTACTTTTCCGGCTAGATTGGTTGAAGTTAATGTAGATGATCATTTAACTTGTTTTTTAATATATTTTTTTTCTTATTTTATTAATAAAATATATTTTAAAAGTATTTTTCATAAATTAGCAGAATCGGCCAATACAGTCGATTTGATTATTACATCAGATGCACGAATAAAGAAGCCTATTTATCGAGAAGTGGAGAAAACTTGTGCTGGATAGACTGATAGCACCAATGCTGTGATACAAAATTTTCACTAAATTCTTAATATATTTTTAAAAACCGAATGAAATCGAACCGAATTAAAATATTCAATGGATTTTTAATACTTCCTCCATCCCCGAAACAACTTCCCGGATTGTACAAATTGTGTACAAAAAGTGTGTACCCCTAGCTCCACCCACTCCCCATAGCAGGATCTAGCACCCCCCTGGCAAGTCAGGCCTGGCAAGTCCCCCGCCTCTGCCCGACGAGTCTGCCGCCGCCCTGTGAGTTCACTGTGCAGTGGAGAGTTGTACCGAAGAGAGAGACATGTATGAGAATGTGTAAAAATGTTATGAATCATAAATTCTTTGCTAAAAAGAAAAAATATTTTTTGGGACAGACAAAAGGAACTTGACAGATAATTTAGGAATTGAGCAAGTATTATTCTCTATTAGTAAAAAAACAACAAGAAAACAAAAAAACATTTACTTCTTAATAGAGTACTAGCTGAAATTAAAAGAGAACAATAACAAAGATACTATCAGAGAACAGAAGATGGTAGTGATGGACGTATGAGGGACAGCGTAACCTCCGTATCTACGATTGTTCTTGGAGTTCGAAGCTTGTTTGGGGGTCGCCGTCCTCTGGCGAACCTCCCAACACTGATCTCACACTCTGATTCCATCTACAACTCAAGAAACGAGAAATCTTCTCCTCATTTCTACTGTACATCGCAGATTTGGGGTTTTGCAGATCTATCTTAATCATCGCGATTAAACCTAAATCAAAGCATCATTTGTGATTCGCCCCATCCAGGCGGTCCGTTTGATTCCGGCTTTAAGGTTTGACGTGTTGGTTTCAAGCATCAGTCCACTGTTCATCTTCGACCTGTACACTGAGCGCAGAATTGTATCAACTCTGGGTTTCTTTCTCAGCCGAAGATTTATCTGATTTCACTGGCCCTACTGGGAGTCATACTACTGAAACTAAGCTAAGTTACTGATTTTACCTCATTTACCTAAAAGTTTCAATTTCCCCTAGTTTGTAGACTTGGTTCTAATCTGAACGCTGGGCAAACTTTCTGCTCTCTGAACTGGTTTTGAAGATTCTTTTCCTATACCTGATAATTGACAACTGCTTTTTACTCCCGTGTATATTCAAAACTGTCTGTGCAAGCTAACTGTTTTTAATATAGAGTTTCTGGCATTTGTCCTACATCTTTGCTGGATAAGTTTTCTGCATAAATTTATTGTCTTCTGCATCAAATCCAATTTTCCAGGGTTGGGTGGTAGATCTTTTGGGTCTGTGTATTATTGCAGGTCCTTGTTTGTACGTGCTTTGTGTTACTGACCTTTCAGGTAACTTCAAGTGTACAAGTTGGATATGTAATACAGTCCAATGACAAGGAACAACAAGAAGTACCGTACTCCTCCCCTAAAGGATAATTCATTTGATGCAAAAATTAAACTGCTTAATGCCAAGATGAAGGAGCTTGAGGAGAAAAAGAAGGATGGGGAGCAGGCTGCCATCCCTTATGCTCCCAACATCGCTCCAAGACTTACAATTAATCCTCAACAGCCTACTGTCAAGGCTTCAAAGGTGAATATCTGCGACAAGCCTGCTGTCTCTTCAATTGGAGTTCCCCCCAGTGATCTTGCTTTGCAAAATAAAGATGGTCTAGTTGAGGATGAGTCTGAGACAATTGGCTCGGTTGACACCTATTCCGAGGCCAGCCTTGAGGATACAAGCAAAGAAGAAAAGATTGAAAGCAAAGGATGGGTTAGCTTATTCCAAAATAACAGATCCCTATCCCATGGAATGCAGTTGGAATTCATCCCACCTAAAGGAGATATTGTTGACTTCTCAAACCGTAAGGTGCCTTCCATTATTGATATATGGGGGTACTGTTTGGTTGGGATTTTCACCGGGAGATTTCCGGGTATCAAGGCGGTGCTTGAATTAATTAGAAAATGGGGTGTTGAGTGCAAGATTAAACCACATGACAAAGGGTGGACTATCTTTCAATTTAAAAGTGAGGAAGACCGTACAAAGGTTATCTCCGAAGGGCCCTATTCAGCATATGGCAAAGCACTATTCCTGAAAGTCCTCTCCGAAGATTTTGAAGTAGATGGAGAAGAATTTCTCAAAGTTCCCATTTGGGTAAAATTACCCGGGCTCTCGGTCACGCTATGGAATAAACCGGAAATTAGCGAACTTGCTTCACATATTGGGGTGCCAATTGTTGCGGATGAAGTCACCCTTAACAAAACAAGGCCTAATTTCGCTAGGGTCCTTGTGGAGGTAGACCTAACCAAACCCCCAATGCTTGAAATCCCCATGATCCAACCTTCCGGGAAGAAGAGGAAACAGTTTGTGGTGTATGAGTTCTATCCGAACTTTTGTTATGAATGCAAAAAATACGGCCATAACCCTTTCCTTTGCAAAGTACTTCATCCGGAACTTATTGAAAAAGAAAAAGAGAAAGAAGTGGTGAGAGCTACCAATACCATCCCAAAGGTCCAAGACCGATCCAAGGAAATCACAAATGAGGAACCCGAGGAGGTCTCTTTCCAGCTTGTAATGCCAAAGAAGAACAAGAACCAAGCCTCTTCTTCAACAACAAAAAAGAAACAGGCTGCTACTAAACCGGTGGAGCCCAAAAATCTGGCCAGGGAGTTCTTATGGAGAGGAAGGAAAATATCAAATGTTCACCAAATGCACCCGGATGATATTGTGGTTGAATTTGTAACCAACGATGATGGTGTACAGTTTGCCTTTGTCAAAAAACAACACCAAATCAAAGGGCACATTCCTGTGGAAAGGCTTGATGTACAAACGCTTAAGATGGCACAAAAGGATGAACCGGCTATCATGTTCACGGACCCATGCTTGGTGACTCTCCCGGGTGTAAAGCGTACAAAAAAAGGGTATCACTTTAATAAAGAAGTTTTTATTCCTAATGTAGCTACTTTTTTTGATGTTAAAGCTAGTCAAAATGTGGAGTTTGCACAAGCGAGGGCTAAAGAACATGCTGCCGAAACAAAAGCACGGGTGGACAGGCAAGCCAAAGCCAAGGCTAAGGCTAAACAGCTTGACCCAGTACAGGGCAGGCGTAAACCGAATAAAGATTGGGGGGAACGGCTAGTCAATAACGTGTATGAATTAGATACTGAGGATGTTATTACTAGCATGGAATTTGATGAGGATGGACAGCGGACTGTTTATGCGGGGAAGAGGGAACTCCTCCCGTTTAGTCTCGAGATATTCCGGGTGGGCCCAGATTTCAAGAAAACGGAACAAGATTGCCCTGGCATGACCTTCACAAATGACTGCCTGCGATCACTCCCAGGGGTCACGCGCACGTCATCATGGTACGCATTTGATGCTTCAATTTTTATTCCTAAAGTGGTTGCTTTCTTTGATGATAACAGTGTAGAGAACATGGAAATTCGCAAGAGGATGGCGGTAGGGAAAGAAAAAGCTAAGGAAATGGGGAATGATTCGGAGGATGCACACTCCTCCAACTCTGATTATGCTGATGATTAATTCTGTCATATGGAATGTTAGAGGTTTGAAAAAACCCTCTAAACACCCTATTATGTCAAATTTTATTAAATCAAATCATGTGAGTTTGTGTGGTTTTTTAGAAACAAAAATGACAAAAAATAATATTTCTAACTATATGGCTAATAAATGGCCGGGGTGGTTTTTTGAAACTAATCATGATTTTATTGATGGGGGTCGTATACTAGTTTTTTGGAACCCCAATTTAATTACGTGTACACTTATTGAAATGGGAGAACAACACATGCATTTCAAATGCCAATGTCGTACGTCACAAACTGTATTCTATGCTACAGTTGTTTATTCCCTATATACTGTTTTGAGACGTAGGACTTTGTGGGAGCACCTAGCGTTACTCGGGGACTCAATTGGGGACCCCTGGTTTATAGCAGGTGACTTCAACTGTGTTTGTTCTCCAAATGAAAGGCTGGGTTCGGCTACACCCTCGGATTATGTTTTAAAAGATTTATTAGATTTTAAAATTAGGGCCAGTCTCCAAGACGCTCCCTCCACTGGACAGTTCTTCACGTGGAACAAGGGAAATATTTGGGCAAAACTGGACCGGGTTTTACTTAATGAAGCTTGGGCTCAGTTGGGAATTCAATGCAAGGCCCATTTCGCTGAAATGGAGGTTGAGTTCGACCACACGGCCTCCGTGGTGTCCATACTCTATAATTCCTCTTTTAGGCCTAAAGCATTTAAATTTTTTAACATGTGGTTACAACATTTGGATTTCACTAACATACTTGTACAGAATTGGAATGTGGACATTCATGGCTCGGCCCAATTCCAAATTGCTAGGAAACTTAAGCTGTTAAAACAGCCTCTTAAGAATCTTAACAACTTGGAATTTGGGCATATATCTATGAAGGCTAAACGTGCTAAAGATGATTTCAAAAGGTTAAATAACCTCATGATTGACTCACCCGACGATACCGACCTTAAAGAGCAAGTCAAGATGGCGAGGAAAAGAGCCACATTCCTGGGTGAGGCCGAATGTAGCTTCTTCCAACAACGTGCTAAAGCTACACATATTCTTCAGGCGGATAAGGGTACAAGATACTTCCATGCAATCGTCAACAGAAACAAGGCCAGGAATACCATTACCTCCATAAGTTTGGACGACGGTAGTCTAACCTCGTCTATTGATCATGTTGGGAATGAATTTGTAAAATTTTTCATTGATCTTTTTGGAACCGAGATGGAAACCTTTTCCTTTGACCATTCGGTACTAGGAACCGGCCCTTTGATTGAACCAAGTGTTCATGATAGCCTATTATCCCCAATAACAAACAAAGAAATTAAAGATGCTTTGTTTGATATTGGAGATAACAAGGCACCAGGGCCGGATGGTTATTCCTCGGCCTTTTTTAAGAAGAATTGGAATATTGTAGGGGGGGATGTGATTCGGGCGACTAGAGAGTTTTTTAACTCGGGAAAGATGCTTAAACAGTTAAATCATACTGTGATAGCTCTCATTCCTAAAACTAGTCACTCCCCTAAGGTCTCAGACTATAGACCCATTTCCTGTACCAATGTGCTTTACAAGATTATCACAAAGATTATTGCGGCAAGAATTATCCCCACCCTCCCGGGTTTGATTAATAAAGCACAAGGTGCTTTTGTGGACGGCCGCCTAATGTTTGATAACATTTTCCTAGCCCAGGAACTTGTTAGAGGATACAATAGGAAGCGAATTTCACCTCGGTGTATGATTAAGGTGGATTTGCGTAAGGCCTATGACACGATCTCTTGGGATTTTCTTGCCAATGTCCTTAGGGGTTTGGGATACCCCGGAATTTTTGTGAGATGGATTATGGAGTGTGTCACTACGGCCTCTTTTTCTGTTTCGTTGAATGGCTCTCTATATGGTTTCTTTAAGGGAAAGAGGGGGATTAGGCAAGGGGATCCAATGTCCCCTTTACTTTTTGTTTTATGCCTTGAGTATTTTTCTCGTCTTCTAGCCATAAAAACTAAGACGCCGGGCTTCAATTATCACCCGCTTTGTGGATCTTTAGGTATAACCCACTTGGCCTATGCGGATGATCTTATGCTCTTTTCAAGAGGTGACAAATACTCCATTGGAATATTAGTTAATACTCTTAAAGAGTTTGGGGATGCATCGGGCCTAAGGGTTAATCATAATAAATCGAATGTTTTCATCGGAGGGGTCAACAGTTTGGATTTGCAGGGCATATTGGATCTAGTTGATTTTGATCAAGGAGTGTTCCCAGTGAGGTACCTTGGTATCCCATTCGCACCTCTTAAAATTTCGGTGACCCAGTATGCCCCACTCTTGGATATGATCAATGATTTTTTAAATGCCTGGAATACGAAGACGATTTCCTATGCGGGGAAACTTGAGCTAATACGTTCTGTGATCCAAGGGGTCCAGTCGTTTTGGCTTCAAGTTTTCCCAATCCCCCAAACAATCCTAAATAGGATTGTGTCGATTTGTCGCATTTTCTTATGGGGAGGTAAGTTTGCAAAGGTAGCTTGGGACGATATTTGCCTCCCTAAAGATGAAGGGGGCCTGGGCATCCACAATGCAAAGATATGGAACCATGCCCTCCTCTCTCGGACCCTTTGGGATGTCCACCAAAAGAAAGATACGCTCTGGGTACGTTGGGTAAATGGAGTCTATCTCAAAGGCAGAAATGTGTGGGAGTTTGTCCCACATGCCCGCGACTCCCAGCTAATGAAACGTTTAGGTCTCATTCGAGACAAAATTCGTGGCTGTTTCAATAGCTTGAATGACATGATACTCGGCCTGAATGCCCGTTCCTTGAATGGAAAATTAACCTCCGCAAAAATCTATGATTTATTGAGAGTTAAGGGTAATGTTAGGACTCCTATGAGTTTCATATGGAAATCCTACATTCCCCCCAAATTATCTTTTAATGTATGGCTGGCTTTAAGAAACCGGCTTCCTACTCAGGATAGCCTCGGGTATCTACACATTGTGAATAGGTGTGACCTTTGTAAGGGTGGTTTGGAAACAATACCACACCTTTTTTTCCTATGCCCCTTTACGTGTAGGGTGTGGCAGCATATAAGGAGTTGGATGGGACTTAAACACGACATGACAACATTGCTAAGTGCCATTAAATGGATCATGAAAACGCACAAAGGATCCAGGATGAAGGCAAAAGCAGTCCGACTAGCATTCTGCGCCGCCGTATACTATATTTGGCATGCTAGGAATGCTTGTAGATTTGATGGAAGCACGAAGAAGGAAGAGGAGATCATCGCGAAGATAAAGCATGTGGTATATAAGATAATTTACTCTATATACCCACATGACTTCATTAGCTTTTGAGGGGCAGAGGTTTTGCATAAGGGGCGTGGACTCGCTTTGGAAATTATCTCGTTGCAACCTGCAACATTAGGGCCATTTTTGGTTTGTTGATTGATATTTGTTGATCTGTGTGCGTGCTTACTAGCAGCACCAATACTCTTTTGCTTTTCAGGCCTTTGATTTTATTTAGGAATAGATCGAATTAAAACCTCTCCTATGTAATGGGGGAGGTTTTAGGAGATCTTGAATTTGGTTCTTTTTTGATGTACAGTCTCTTTTGGGTGCTAATATATATTTACATTTCATCCAAAAAAAAAAAAGATACTATCAGATTTAATTTGTTAACACGGCCATAGTAATCAAAGGTTCAAACTTAAGTATACTGCGTACTAGGTCTGTTATGCTTCACCTGTTAGAGAGGGGTTTGCCCTTCTTTAATAGATTTTAAAGTTTTTTGCACAAAAATAAAGTTTAAGGTCATAGATGTGATGACAACTTCAAGGGATTTTTGCCCCTTTTCCCTAGGTCTTTTAAATACGTATATGTTTTGTAAAAATTAGTGTAAAAATGTTAACACGTAACATCAATATAAAATACTTTTTTATTAGATACGGAGTACATAAACTGATTTTTAACCATTTTTTGTCGGGTTCCAAATTTGGGGCCCTAAATTTAAACATATTGGTGTAGTTCATTGACTTCATTCAGGTTTTTCAAGGTGGTTAGATATTTTTTATTTCGGTTTTCCGTTTTTCTGTTCGCAATGCCCTACTTAGTACTTAAGCATGGGAGGCAATTTTGATGGTAATAGGCATTTTTTGGAACGACGGCGCATGAACCCAGCCGCCGGCAGAGAGAAGGCGAAAGTATGGAGACGGAAGGTCGATCGCCCGGCAAAGACTCTGTTTCTTCTATCGGTAGAGCGTTTCTTTGTGATAAAGAACATCGAAAATGGCATTGAATCAAACTGTTCGGTGACGGAGCTGCCAAATCGCTCTATGGGTATGCTGGAATTGGAGTCCAAGATTTTCTTGGTGGGCGGTCAAAAGAAAGGCAGTTTCGGTATGAATCCTGATTTCGATGGTGCCTTTCCCAGAGAAATCTATGAGGTGAAACAGCTTTCCGATTCCGTGTCCATAGTTCCTTCCACAATCATGCCAAAGCTGAACGAGGGGAAGTTCCATACAATTGCCCAAAAGTTTGGAAGCAAGATATTTGTACTGCACATGGGCCCTAATTTCAAGTTGGACAAGTTGACAAGGAGATACTCAACTAGAGTTTTTGAGTGTTTCGATTCTGCTTTTCCAGAAAACGGTTGGGTTGTGAAATCAGGTATACCCTTTTTTGATGGTGCCTTGGACGAGGGAGTGTATATCGTGCATGGGTTCTATCGAATAGGGGAGAAGCTCTACTTGAACGTGAATTGGAAAGGAGAGAGGTATTATGTTTTTGATTTCAAGACAGAGGAATGGTCCAAGGATGACTGTTTTTATGTGGGAAAACATAGGTATTATGGCTGTCCAAAGCGTGCTGTCTCAGCTCCTGGTTTAGATGATGACACACATATCCTCTTTGGATACCTTAATGTGTACTTTTTCGAAGTTCGAGCTACGCTTTTCACGCAAGGAAAAGGATGCTCCTGTTATCAAAATGTGGACGGAATCTTCGACTTGGAAGGATTGGGAGGAGACGAGATGGGCTTAGATGTGGTTGAGATAGGAAATGGTGACTACTTTGGCCTGCTGACAGCTAGGGAATTCAAAACAGGTGACTATTATCTTCTTGTATCAACCTTTTCACTTGAGGTACTCGCTGCTCGAGTGCCACCCATCCAATCTCTCGATAAGCCTATCAAAATGACATTCTTAAGCATTAACCGCAAGAACCAACTGAAGTTCAACATCACCGGGGTTGATTTCTCTTATTTTGCCGGAGCTGCATGTCTTTAGGTATTGTTTGCACCTCAGTTTCTCTTTGAGCATCTATTTGTGGTGCCTATATATTGCAGTATAATTAGATTTGAACTCCCTAAAAATGGATTTTGTGTTCATTAATACTACCTTTTAAATGATTGCTGGTTCTGCGAGTCTCTGGATGGTCCCTTTATGCTGCCCTGCAAGGTTATGGCCATGCTTACTTAATTAGTTCCTTTTAGCTATGTGTGACCCGCTAGCAGAATCTTTTAAGCTTCAATTAATTTCTATTATCCCTGTGTTTATGAGACTAAAGAGATGATCAATTTTTTAGTGGAACCCTATACTACCATTCTTCACGCTGCCACTGTTAGTTATCTATTTATCTACCCATCTATCTTAATTGACAATTACCAGTTTCAATTGTGATTTAATCCCGTGTACCATATTTCTTATCACTTTAACCGAACGATCCTAAAACACATCTACGGCTCTTATTAAAAGATCGTTCATTCCTTTTTTCTTCGCTCACCACATGTTGTCGTTCACTCCCCTTCTCACAACAGCTGACCATCCGAGTTCACTCCATTCCTAGATGAAAATGACCTCAATAACACTTCTTCGCTCATCGCAATCCATCCGAGTTGAAAAGCTAGAGAAGCAGTTCTTCGAATTCACTTATCGGAATCTATCCGAGTTGAAAAGGTCGAAAGCAATTCTTCTTCTAATTCGCTCATTAGAGTCTTGAAAACCTCGGAAGCTCTCACATTCCAGAGCCTGGCCGAATTTCACTTCAATCCACATATGATTCTATATTACATTCATGCTCTTCTCATATGCCTTTTCAAATTTGTGTTTGGGAGAGTACACTGCCTTCTTCCTTTCTCTTCTTGATTTCAAGCTGAAAAGTTATGGAAATGTAGAATAAGATGGTTGCTCTTCCTTTAGATGTCATCAGTTTTCCTGCAATTTTCCTCTCTTCAAGGTCAACTAATCCCTCTTTGCTTCTTTATTCGAATTTAAATTTTTATAATTGATTATTGAGCTGGATTTCTATTCGATTTCAGATTGTCTCAAATACATGACGATCTTCTGCTACAAAATCAACCAAGCAAAATTGAGGTCTTTTTAGATTCATATTCAATATTCATTCTTTATTTAATTATTCATCATCTTTAAATAAAATAATTGATTCCTTCTTTATTGCTTGATTTGATTAATTTTGCTTTCGGATCCTATCTGTTACATTGTGAAGAATGGACATGTGAAGTTATAACCAAAGTTTTGTTGTTGTATGCCTTATATTTATTAGATGTACATATCAAATAAAGATGTGAGCCTTTCTTTGCGCATTCAATGTTGATAGAGTGCAAAGGTCTAAAAATTTATAGGCGATTTTCGAGCTACAGCCTCCACAAAGCTGCACTTTTGTAGCAAAAGATGTTATGTTAATCTATATACTAGAGCTCCTTATGTATGAATATATAATTACCAAGATGTATTTCAGTTTTCAGCTTAAAGCAAGGGTGCATATCCTTAAAAAAAATCACAGTTATTCCTACTCTTCTAACTTACTGTGCATAAACATATCATTATACATTTCAATAAGTTATGCATCAATACAAGTTAGGAATCTTAGGGTGCATATGCCTATCGATATAGTTATTCTTAGGGTGCATATTATAGTCTTGAAAGAGCTAAACTCAGTGAGTTGATATTTAAACTATGATATGCTATTAAGTTAAGTGTGAAAAAAATAGAAAGTTGAGATTTTAAAATACAAACCTCAAGTTTAAAGGTGTTACAACAAAGTCATTCTTATGCCTAAATTCTAGAATGGGGGAAGAAGTAAATGGTCATGTGATATAGTTCATAATATATGAAGCCCAAAATGAAAGTTAAAACAAGAACGGAAATCAGAGTTTTTTCCCGGAATAATGCTAAATAAATAAATAAATAATTCCCAAAATACTGTTGGGTTTAAAATAATTCCCAAAATACTACTGGGTTAACCGTGGTTAAGGAAAGCCGCCACTTGAAGTGGCTGTTTTTCTCTACACAGTACAAGAGCCGCCACTTCAAGTAGCGGCTTTTCTTAAAGAATAACGCAAACGTAACATATGCTGAAGTCTAACAATAAATGCAGTGAGACCCATCCAAAATTAAAAATCCCCTGTTTTCTTTGAATTGTTGTAACTTTTTTATTTATACTCTGATTGTTACAAAAAATATATCAATATTCATAATTTTTTATTATCTTGCATATGACACCATATTGAATATATAAAATAAAAAAATAATTTAACAATTTAAAAATTACTATCTCCGGTCCTAAATAAACTTCTCGTACAGTTTACGATGCTTGACTGCAGATAAAGCAACCCGATCCATGTTCACACCCGGTTTATTTTTAGTAAATAAAATTTACATATTCAGAAACTACATTAAAACCGCTATAAAGCCTGATCAAGGAAATTTAAATTTGATAAAAAATTGACATATAAAGTAAAAGATTAAGAGTGATTTAAGTTGACCAATGAATAGTGAGTGTGAAGTTTATTTGGAACCAGATGGAGTATGTATTTTTTTAAAGTGCTATATATTTTTTATTTTATTCTGACATACAAAGAATATATCAAACTTTTTATGTTTTATTATCTTTTATAGAAAAGAAATGTTTCATATAGAAAAATAAAAATAAAATCTGTTAATTTGTGTAGTTTAGGATCATTTTTTACGATGCACATAATTAATAAACTACATAAATTGATAGATTTTGTTTTTATTTTTCTATATGAAACTTTGTAGAGGTTTTAATTAATATAGTTTCTAAATATGTAAATTTTATTTACTAAAAATAAACCGAGTGTGAACAGGAATCGAGTTGCTTTATCGTCAGTCAAGCATCGCAAACCGTATCAGAAATTTATTTGGAACCGGATGTAGTAGTAATTTTTAAAGTGTTAAATTATTTTTTTATTTTATATATTTAATATTGGTGTCATATGAAAAATAATAAAAAATTATGAATATTGGTATATTTTTTGTAACAATCCTCTGAAAGATACAACAGTTCAAAGAAAACAAGAGATTTTTAATTTTGGATGAGTCCCACTTCATTCATTGTTAGACTTCCACAGTGTGTTGTGTTATTCTTTAAGAAAAGCCGCCACTTGAAGTGGCGGCTCTTGTACTGTGTAGAGAAAAACCGCCACTTCAAGTGGTGGCTTTCATTAACCACGATTAATCCAGTAGTATTTTGAGAATTATTTTTAACCCAACAGTATCTTGGGAGTTATTTATTTATTTAGCATTATCCCAGAAAAAAACTCCTGAAATCAATTTAGTCTAGCAGGACTCACACTTTACACATTACCTATTACCTATACAACACATTTCAGCAACCCAGCAGTTAGAGTAAGATTTTAAAATTTTTATGCTGACATCATATGTGCATTGTTTTCTTGTGAGGAAAGAGAAATGAAGATTACTTTGATAATTCTGTAATTGAAATTTCTCTAATAAAAATAACATGCTTTAGTATACTAATGGGCATCCTATCTATTCAAAACCATTGGGGATAGCTCATAAACAGCAGGAAGCTTTTTTTTTGAAAGAAGATGACTTAAATTGATATCACGTCATTTAGATAGGGGACAAAAAGGTAAAGGATCGTTCACAATTGCCAGTAGAGATGGATTGCGCCCGGTCCGGTTCCTGTTCCGGGTGGGCTTGGAATTTTTCGGTAAGCCCAGGACCGACCCCACCCCACCCCCCCACACCCCGCCAAAACACCCAGTGCAGCCCACCTACCATAGGCCCAAACCCAAAAAAACAAAAAAAAAATTAAAAATACCCGGAACTGGGCCTGGACCGGCCGGGCTGGTCCCTAATTATCCAATCCCAGAAGAGCCCCCATAACCCTCCCCCCGGTTGGGCCTACGCCCGGTACCGGTTCTCCGGGCCGGTCCCGCACAGTGGTGACTGGTCCGGCTCCCGGGCCAGTCGGACCGGCCCCGGGCCAAGCCTAATTGCCAGCCCTCGAACCAGACTTAGAGTCAATTACATTCCAGAAAGTAATATGACTCGCTGATTCTGTAACGATCCTAATTGAGCCAACCGCGGTTGAAACAAATCTCTTATCACTCAATCCTAATGAAAGAGTTTGGCAAAATGAAAAATAAAACCCGACAATAAAATTAGTCTACCCAAATAAAAAACAATGACAAAAATAAAATTATTAAACTTCAACTCCATCTCCAGCGTCATGAGGATCTCCCTCTGTCTTACCTTGCCATAAAGCTTCTTCGGAACTCCTGGTGGGTCTGATTTTCCGGACCCGCCTCCTTCCCATTAGCACATGGTAAGTTTATGTGCTTTATGTACGTCTTATATACGGAGTATATACTAAGTACTTCGTATTTCCCTATATAATGAAAATAACTACTTACTTCAAAACGAAATTGACCAAATACAAAAAAATGAACTTTTTCATTCACCCTATTTGGATGAAATGCACAGGCGTTGTTAAAAACACGACCTTCATCATACGGACTATTAGAAAACAATCGAACTCTAAGAAGAAAATAGCATCTCAATATATGATGCCTCAGTGACATAGGAAAAAAAGAATATATTAAGAAAAGTAAAGTAATAACAAAGTATGAAAAAGAAAGTAATTACAAGCTCGTTCCGAACTGTACGAGCGCTTTGTGCTATTTACTGTAACTAAGCCTTATGAAATAAAGAAATTACACAGTTGTAATTAACAATTGCATTTTAATTACATATAAATATTACTTTTTAATGTTTGTATTAAAAAAAATACTAAGATAGGAATTTCTAATCAAATAAATTAAGATTTATCATATTATATAGAACATATTTAAAATTTTGGGCCTTCTGAATTGTAGAAGTCTTGTGCGATAACACTTCTTGCACGCCCTTATCTACCGCTCTGTTCAAGGTGTTAAAAACATATTGATTCTTTTGTCCTTTCGTGAATCAAATAGGATGTGACATCAATTTGGTATCAGTTAAATAAGATATATTCATATTGTAATTTACCTACAATTTAGCATATATACTTCACCGTTCTTTTTTAGTTGCAACATTCATTTTTTCACGCTCGCCAATGCAAAATTTTGACCGTCATTATATTTAATTCTCTATTAGTAAAAAACTTTTAAAAATCAGATTATGAAACTTTGTAATAATACGAATTCAACAATATTTTTCAAGAAAAAGGATTCACATACATTAATAAATAAAGTGTAGTCAAAGAAGAGTAAATGAATAGTGTGTAAGTTCCAATGTTGTGACTATTACGATACGGATGATAGTACTACCTCCGTTCCTAAAAATTCTTCCCGGTTTGAATTGACACGCTTATTAAGAAAGTGGAATAAAGTGGAAATGTGTGGTTGTGGTTGTGTAAGAAAAAGGTAAAATGAATGTGAACCACACAAATTGTCCAAAAAGGGAAAGTGGGAAGAATTTTTGGGAACGGCCCAAAAAGGAAAGTGGGAAGTATTTTTGGGAACGGAGGGAGTATTAAATAAGTCAACACGACAACACATAGTTTATTTATTTACTTATTTATTTTGAGCATGCAAGTTTCCAGCTATAATTGAACCTCGGACAAATTATCCTGTTGTTTGCTTTAAAAGTGAAATAGTGAAAGTTATTATATGCCATTTGTTTGTTTTTTCTTTTGAAAAGTTTATATGCCATTTGCTTGATGGTTTGAAACTAATGATTATCGGTGTGTGCCTGTGTGGTGTAACCATTCAAACTCAGGGGCGCCAGTGAAGGGTGCCAAATGTTCAGTTTTCAACTACACATTACTCTTAGAGTTCAATTCACCTAAAAAAATACCTCTTATTCAGTTGCACGGGATGTAAAGTGAAGATTTTATAAAGGTTAACATATACATGTAATTAGATTGTAATTTTTTTTCAAATAGTAATAACATATAAATAAGAAATATAATATTAATAAATAAATAAATAATACTCCGTAACAAACATTTAAATTTTAATAATTAAGCACCCAATTTACAAATTATTAAAGATTTCTTTGTAGACGTACGACACATTTGTAGTTTTTCCTGATTATCTCCGTCCTCGTGTAAAATAGACTTCTAGTCTGACCGTTCTGACGGAATTGTCACCTTTGAAACCGCAACTAACTGTCCATGTATAAAAAACTGGAGGTCACACAAAAACACCCACAATTTCCAACGATTGCCCTATTTTTTTTTTTAAGATCTCAAACTTTCTCTGCCAGAACTGGAGGTCACACAAAAACACCTACAATTTCCAACGATTGTCCTATTTTTTTTTTAAGATCTCAAACTTTCTCTGCCAGATCTTTTGCAATACTGATGAAATGGGCTTATGCACAACTTTTATATGCTTAAATGTGGCATCCCTTTTTCTTCTCTTCACAATATGA